CAATTGAATGGTCGAGGGTTGTCCAGAGTACAATTGAATGGTCGAGGTGTACAAAGTTTAGTTTACTACAAAAGACTAGACAAAGACTAGTCGTCGACCGTTAGGGTATATATAGTTCCATGAAATGACTTACATGCTTTGTAATCTTTGCATCTCTTTAAGCTTGAGCAGCTTGTCAAGTGAAGCCGTGTGTCCAACGTTAACGTCCCCACCTCCTAAGGTGGTTCGGCCACTGCCGCAGCCTTGCGAGGGTGCCGATCCGTGGGGGGGCCGAGGGACGCACGGTCCGGGACCAGCTGTCTACCGAGCTACACCAGTGGGGGCAGACTCTGGCGATTGGTGGCAAATTCCTTGTTGGCAGAGTTTCGCGAAGTTGTTAGTTGGGCAAGTTCCATAAACAGGTTCACAACATGGCATGTTAGAACCGAGTTTTGATTTGGAGTTGTCGTGGTGTGTCGAACAAATGGCGGGCTGGGGCTGGATCAACGACTCCTTGATACTCCTCGTATCAGTGGTTCATTGGGTGTCAATGAGCCCCAAAACAGGGTTCAAGCAAATCGTTCTGTTTCAACGGTACCCACTGGCTCCTTAAACACGTTCAACTCCGACGCATGTACCTATCTTACCAACCGTGAACCCCATACACTACCAAAATCAACTAAGAAACATGAGGATCAATTCGAAACTATGACAATGACATACAATGACATGGCCACCAAATACAGAATCCATCCGGCTGAAAAACAGAAAAATATAACATATCAAAAGACATAAGCAACACACAAAACAAATCAAGACAACTGGCTTTGCCCAAGCCTTTGAGTCCTCGGCCTACGGTTGAGTCCTCACATGTCCTCACGCCGTCATCGAGCGTCCAAGCCTTGACCGTCGACCCGAGGCGGCAGAGTTGCCCCGCCCAGCCTGGGCGCTGCAACTGAGGTGCGAAGATCAGAGCGGAGAGCGGAGGGAGAAACACAGATTCTATAGAGGAAAGCCCTGGAATCACGTATTATTCAATGTTTTTTTGTTTTGGTTGTGGTTGTGGTTGTGGTTGTGGTTGTTGTTGTTGTTGTTGTTGTTGTTGTTTGCTTTCACTGCAGGCGTTTTTGTTTCCTGACCCACTGTTGAATAACATGTTGGAATGATTGGGAGGTGGTAAGTGCTTGGATTGTTGAGTGATTTAGATGATTTCAACAACATATATATATATATAAACAGTTCATTATTGCCACCAGGGGATATATACTGCATTCGCTTCGCTGTTCGGCACGCGGCGGTTTAAGGAGTGTTTATTGAATTCGGGCTGGAACGTCAACAGCTGATTAGTCAGTACCATAGCGTTTCTTAATCAATAATTAATGAGTTGACAAGAATTTGGGAGCCTCACATTCTGGTTGACACAGTTGATTTGATTTGGACGCCACTGGTATCAGCAGGTATTCCTGTTGGGACATTGTCAAACCCTGGTGCAAAGCAAGGTCAGACACTTCTCACATGCCAGGGGGTGATCGCTCTGAGTGCCACTGGGTCCTGTGCTGCTCTGAGCTACTCCAGTGGTGGGTGGGTATGATCGCTGATTTGACGAGCGAGAGTGGGAGAGCGGGGAGTAGATTTCAACCCTGGGACCCTAGACTATGAAGCGAGGAATGTCTTCAAGAATGGGACAGCTACCTGCTGCCAGCCATTCATCCACAGGATTTGGAATGGTCTTCGAGTGATTCACAATGATTCATGCAACTGGACCAGGTAGCATGACACAGGAAGTCATCAGCGACAGGAAGGTGACTTCAGCTCCGGGGCTGTGATATCCAAACTATGTGCTGTTGGCGGCTTCAGGCGCCATGTGTTTAAGTTACAGTGAGGACACCTCTGGCCATTTTGGCGACCAGTCAGTGGAACAATAGGGCCTTTGGCCACCGAGGGTGATCTATTTAATTTGGTTCGGAGTAATGTTCCAAGCCCCGTTTTGACGACTCAGCACGGTCTTGGGGGGCAACCATGCCTTCCTGCGGCGAAGGTATGTCTATATACGTGCTCTCGCCAATGAATGTCCATCGCGTACTTCCAAAGACCAGCAGCCAGCAGCAGTAGAAGAGACTAAACATAACTGAACATTATAAATACATCATTGTTTTTCCCACCAGGCATTCTATAAATAAGTAGGATGAGAATAGACAAAATATTAGACCAAATCATGATAAGTCCTTCTATAGTTCAACGGAATTCTATATACTCCTTTGGAAGTGGGGTGCGAGCTTAGGTCTCACGGTGGCGGCCACCCGTGTCAGCCACCGATCTTCGGCCATCGGAACTCGGTCTTGGGCGTCTTCTTTACTTGCTCCACCTGCGTTTAACGGCCAACTGATGCGGGTGTTTTCTTTGATGCCAACCGGACCAGTAGTGTCTCTATACGTTATTCATCTTCATGCATCCTCATTGGTTGGCAATCGGTCGGACGTTCATCGGTCGGGGTCTCCCTGGCAGGATCGAAGTTGGCAGATCACCTGAGAAATCCCGACTTCGAATATGTAAGAATCACATGGGGACTGAGTTGTTTTTTTGCGACAGTAATAGCGTGTTTTTTGTTCAAACAGTTGGAACATTGCAGGAGGTCCAAAAAGAAGCATTACAGCGTTTGTAAGCGTTTGAACTGCTCCACCTTTTCGGGGGTAGCCCCGTGGAAGTTCAGAGGCTGAGATGAGTATCGGATCATTGAAGTTTTCAAGAACTTTCAAGACAAGGAGTATAACAGTATAACAGCATTTGTAGAAACTGGTGCTTTGGGGTTGCTTTTGGTGTTTGTGTTTTTTAGGGGCGGGATTTGTGTTGATAACCAAATGTTTTAACCTTGGTTTGTTGGTTTGGAACTCTCCACAAACACAGAAGGCCCAAGTCGAGTAGCCGGTAATTTTGACCTTCATCACTTGGTGGTGAGCGCAGCGACTCTCCGTTTGGATCAAACAAGTCATTACAAACTGGACTGGCTGTGGTTTTTGGACGTCTACTGCTGGATTCACATATTGTGGTTATTGTTGACAGTTTGTTTTTGTTACATCCTTTGGCAATGGAAAGAGTCAACGAGTCCACATGACCTCCCACGTTTCATCCTCTGTTGCTGTTTCATCCTCCACTTGGCGAAACCTCGCCACCGGCATCAGTGAAGGTCATTCGTCAAATGTTTCAAGGCTCGGCTCGGCCGCTTTAGATTCCGTCCGACGAGCTGCCCATGGTTCGGAGTCATCAGGCGCTGCTGAAGAACAGCTTTGGAAACATGAACAGAGGCACGCTCAACAAAGCGCGCACTTTGCAAGCACGTGCCCGGCACTGTTTTGGCGCATGTGACGTTTTGGACTTGCTGGCAAATTCTGTGTGCTTCTTGTGCCAGTGTTTTACAAGGAACTGGAGGAATCCAAGTCTTGGTTGTTTGGTATCTTTTCTTTAACGTTTTTCGACACCAACTTCTCCCGCCCGCACAGCACTGGGTCAAGCCGCCCCAGCACAGGGCGGTCTGTATTGCCCTTGTGGCAGCGCTTGACAGCACTGGACTTTGGCGCTGTCTATCCAGTCTGTTCATTTTTTGGCGCTGTCTTAGCTCATGATTGGCCTGGACCTTGAGACTCTTCCTATGTGCAACTAAAGCTCGCTCAGACCTACTCGGATCGTGGGAACATGTATACAAAATGAGGTTGACCCAGAAACTCTTTGCTTAAAAAACTAGTGGACATAGTTAAACGTGCTTCCAAAACTTAGAAGGAGGCAACGATCCCTGCCTTTAAATGATATATATATATATATATCATATACTTTACAACTCACATGACGCTGTCCTTGATGGGCCCTGGTGGGCCCCATCCCCTGTTACAAGTCCAGAGCAAGGCCGCCCCATGACCCGCACCCGGGAAGGGAAGACTGTCAGGGTGTAGTGAGTCTATTGTACTTCAGTAGCGGGTCCCCAGCGACACAGATGTCTTGGGCAAGCAAGTGGCTCTGATGAACTTTTCAGAGTGACCGCAAACCACCTTCGACAAGGGATCCCTGGTCAACCTTTCGATAGGGGGGATTTGGACACATGGACCCAAACAACTGGACCCGTTCACGACGCCTACTCAACTCGTGCCACGACGCCAACCTCACCCGATGACCGCAGATGTCCAGTCCAATCGCTGCAGACTTTGGACCATGGAGGAGTTGAGTCCCGAAAAATGAGCTTGCGTTTTCAGATCGGAGCCCAGCATCCTTGATATGAGAATGTGTACAACATCCTTGTATGCTTTATGTTACAACCAAGCAACCTTGGTTCTTAATGGGACCTGATCTCAGTTTGGCTCTACTTGGTGAAGCTGTTCAGATCCATTCAGATTGTTTAGGGTCATGACCTACCCAGTCAGAGACAGCTCAACCTGTAAGCATCCTCTAACCTCTTTTGGGATTGGGGACAGGTGGATCCAACCAGCTCGGCTTGAAGGTCAGATCATGTCCAACCAGCCTGGGCACGTGTCAGATCGATGATCTGACACTGTGCAGACCTTTGGGGTCAGAATGTGGCAAAAACATGGTGAAGCCAAAGGGTTGGGGTCAAAACCCTTTTTGTTTTGGAAACGATCAACTTGAATGGCTTCTTGAAACTTCGAGATCATAGTTATAGAGTGTTGTCATATTAAAGTTCAACGTTCAAGATCACAGAAACATACAGAAACTAAGCATAAGTACTACCTCTGTTTGTGTGTGTTTTCCGCAAAGTAAGGCATCAACTATGAATATAGCGATGGCCTCCAACCTACATTATGTCTCTATACGATGAGTGCTTATGAGTGCTTGTCTTTTTGGATGCTTCGGTCGCCTGCCACCCGCACGGCCCGCTCGCCTCTCCGCCGTCCTGGCTCGACGAGAACTTTGGTGCTATGGCGACGGAAGAGGCTCGGGGACCCGAGGGGAACGATACCGGTCCATGAGATCCAGAATGCACCAGAGAAATAAGAACATGTATATACATATTATCATAATATTACATAATTAATAAGAAATAAGAAGGTCCTGACGTTCTGGTGTTGGACTCAGTGAAGTAGTTTGACCGGATACTTATAATATACGTTTACACATGTGTATTGATATCATTATATTATATTTAATATACAAAATGTCTATATCATATATATAAACAATATACAGACTGTACATAGCATACACTGACTACAGACATATTCTACAAATCTATAGACACTTATTGGTATGCAAACGTTTGACAGTTCCCTATTCCTGGAAGCATCTAATTGCAGGCTTCAGGAGTCTAAGCATCGAGAGGGAATGAGGTGAACCTCCAGACCCATCAGCAGAAGGACCTTGCCACTTGCTAAAGTGGCATCAGGTTGCAAAAACTCACAGACAAAACCACAGACAGTTTCCCATCCAAACCACCAAGCAAACCAGCAGACCATCCAAGCAAGTCTTTGGATCATTTCATCTGATGATTTCTTCAGGCACCCCCCGAATCCTGACCCGGTTTGGGCCAAACCGGGATGTGGACCCAACCGCCAGGAGAGCGCCACTGGGCCGTCCGAGCCCGCGCCCTGTGCCGGTGCGGACTCGGGCGCTGGCATCGTCGGGGCCGCGGGGTGGGGCGGTGGGGTTGGGCGGATGTGATGCGATTGGTCACTGGTCACTGGATCGGCTTCAGGATTTGAGGGATCGAAGTCATTGAACATGTCACCAGAAGACTCGGAAGAGTGAGGAAGATCAGGATGCCATTTCCAAGACCATTCTGTTCATATTTGGAGTTGCAAGCACCGGCTTAAAGTGACTTTGCTGTTCGTACGTAGGCCTTGACCCTGCCACTCCCATGATTGGGCAAAGAATCATGGGGAAGTGGCCATGTTGAAGATGCTTGGGATTATTCAACGCAAGAAGTGTTCAGTACCTTCTTGCTACTAGTAGCGATGGCCTCCAACCTGCTAGCTTCTTGCTACTAGTAGTAGTATTGAGGTGCTGATGGACTCCCAGAACATGTGTTTTTCGGAATCATTGACCGACTCGCAGACGGTCCTGAAATGTCCCAGACTTGCGGGTCGTGTTTCCTGCTCGCTTCGCCAAGGAAGTCGAAGCCAAACAGGAAGAGCTGAGAAAGCCAGGGCTCCAGCCGAAGGAACTGTTCCCATGGAGATCTGATTGGTAAAGATGGCCGGGAAGGCGCAGGATGGCTGGATCTTCTGCAAGGCTGCAGGGCCATGACTATTCTTTTGGGGGTGACCACCGTCACGGTTATGGCCACTGCTGACTAAATGCCCTCTCAAGCTATATGTTATATATATAGTTTGCATGAACAGGCACAAACTCAGGTAGTTTCAGTCCCCTTGTGTCTTTGTGATCCGTTGAAAACACTGTTGCAATCTGTTGCAGCCAAATGTCTTTTGTTGGTCGAGGAGATACTCCTTTGTGACTCATTTTTGACTGCGACTGTCTATGACTGTCTCCAATGTTGGGAGCAGAAGCGGCGAGTAAAGGTCTCCTGTGAGCAGACGCGGTGAGTGACATTGGGACTTTATCCTTCAAAAGCAAGACGTTAATCGAACTTTCCTGCTGGTGGCAAGTTGTGAGGCCCGACGTGGCTGAGAAGGCTGGGCCGAAAAGAATGTGGCAAGTACGTGAATTCGGTGAGTAATTCAGCAACTTTTACAGATTAAAATGTGTCCAATTGATCCAAAGTGATCCATGTATTTGGAATAGTTGCCTTTGGGATGCTTCGAGGAGTCAAGGTACGTCAACTGTCATTCCCACGGGTGTCTCTGTCAGTCACATGTTTGGCAATGTAATGGCACATATAGGGATGGGTCAAAACCTGGAGCCTCAACACCATGTAGCTTGGCAGGTAGGTCCAGGTCAACCAAGGTTTTCTGGTTTTGACCCACAGCCTTATGTTTCTGCGCACTGTTTGGCCAAACTTTGGGGGGAACGACATGGCACTGATTTTTAGACCATTTCCTTGCTGGAAGAGCTTTGAAAGTGCTTGCAGAGTGGCTGAAACGACCATGCCAATTCGGTCGATGCGTTCCCTACAGGGTCCCTATTCGGTCGATGCGTTCAGCGGTTCATTGACCGGATGTAGGGAACAAATCTCAGTTCCTACATTCTCCTGTCCATTTCCTCTATGAAATGAGGTCAAGGCTCCTATGAAAAATAACATCAATGACAGGACCCCCTGCAGGGTATTGACACGGGGATGTTCCTACCAATGTTGAGTTCACTTGATGGAGTTCAGTGACCTACGGTCCTGTTCATCTCCCTTGCCCCCCTGACCCGGCCGAGTCGCGTTCCGAGCGAGGTGGAGGATCCGCAAGGCCCATTGGGAGAAGGTCAACTTCCCAGAGTTCGTTCAACTGATAATGATGAGTCACATTTTTAGAGATTTTGCTTGAGCCATTCCTGCTCAAAAACAAGTTTCACGGACATTGAACTTTGATGGACCTGGAGTTGTTTATTTTTCCCCCACGAAAACGCTTGGGTTGTGCCGGAGGGTTTAGGGTTTATCAATTTTCTTCGACATGGTGTGATCTGTTGAAGACATAAATCCTGGCGTTGTTCCATGGAGATAGCCAAAGGGGTGGCGGATACTTCAGCCCGTCATGATTGAACTCAAAGGAGGAATGACCAGGATACAAATGGGTCGGGACAATCGGCATTGGCAACCACAGTACCTTGATTATATATATATATAGTCAGAGATTAGCCAGAGTCCAGAGTCTTGACATCATTTGTTTAACATATATCCATTTCTCCTATCTAGCGATCACTGCAAGCTTTGGCTAGTCCTGCCAGGCCAGGACTCTGGCAAAACTGAAGGTGAAACTCAAGAAGGTGCGGGGAGGTCGCCGTTAGTCGCGCTCTCAAACGGGAGAGGTAAACAGTTTTATTGAACGACTGCTCCTCCAAGGATTAGGTCTTGGCATGTACAGCAATAGCTACTTGGCATTTGTATTGCATTGCCATGTTGCCCAAGTAGATCAAGTCGAGTTGGCAACGAGCAGGTTCACCCAGGGCGTCAGAGGATTTTGCCCAGCTTGATCGTCACAAGTCTCATATCACATATCGTTAGGACTCTGGACACGCTCCGATATGATCCATGCCATTTGACAAACTTTCTCTTGTTTTGTACACACGCGGAGTCTCCCAGTACCCATATAAACATGCGCAGGTTGATGTCGATGGGATTCTATGGGTATACTTGGAGACTCCAGGTATCACTTCACTTTTATATGTATACCTATAGTGGCGAAGCCAAGAGGCTTGGCCTTTTGGCCTCTGAACTTGAATCTACTCTCAAGACGTCTCGCGAATTCTCGAGAAATCCATCAATGAATATGCAGGATCAGAGGAGCTGCTTCCAAGAGCCGAGTCCCATATCAATGCCTGATACTAAACTGCTCCATGCAGTGCCCGATAGTTTGCTCGTTGCCGTCGCACCAGGTGCGGTCACCGCGGTTGCAGCGCCCAAAGCTCATGCGGAGGCGGTGGCATGGAGGAGAGAGGTGAGATCACAGACTGACCCCCCCACCACACGTTGGATCTGGTCCCTCAGCCTCATTCCTAACGAGTTGCACCAGTCAGATTAGAGGGCAATGATTACGTAGCCTTCAGAAGCATCAGTGAATCAGGTCAGTGTCAGTGTGTTTTTTGTTCGCTTTGGCTCTTTGAACCGTTGAACCTCGGAACAAAATCATACAGCCCTAATCTAGGAATTCCGAGTGCATACAGGGCATTCTGTTCTAGCAGAAGGTCTACGTTTAACGCTACAGCGCCCACAGTCTGGCGAATTATGACAAATCTTTGCCAGGCGTGAGAGTCGATGTATACGGTCCAAATAGACCTATCGGCTATGGCTGAGAAGTAGTGGATAGAAGAAAGATAAAGTTTCAGGAACCATCCACTGATACTCTTGATGATGATGATCCTGACGACTCCTCTTTGTGGCGAACAGATCAGGTTTAAGTGACCCAAGCCCTTTTGGGGGGGTTGTGATTTAATTGTTGAAGCGAGCTTCCCCAGCCATTAGATTCTGCAGATGTCTTCGGATGTGTTTTGGGGCAGCCAACGCAGACGTCCTGGGCTACAGCGTTGCAGTCACCCGCGACGCAGGGCGGCCTGGGCTTGGAAGAGCTCAGACCACCCACTGGAGAGCCAAAGGCACGCTCGACGACCCAGCGCGGCGCGACGTAGGGACCGTGCGAAGAGACCGTGTGTTCACACAGAGGGAACATGAGAGAACGGTTTAAACATGTTTAAACAACGCAGCACGTTCTTATTTTGGCAGAGACGCGTTGGTCTTTAGAGGTCTTGAGCTTGTATTCTTTTTCGGGGCAGACGGGGCAGAAGCAATCAATAGAATGTGCATCAATGTTGGTATGTATGGAGATTACAGCTGGTCCTTGACATCTGCAGCAACGCGTGGCTGTGGGTCAAAACCAGGCCCTGGTAGGTTGACCTTCAGTGTGGTTTGTTCTGTTCATGTTGTGTGGTCAATCCGCATCAGTCACTCACCATCACTCACCATTTTCTGGGCCTCCCAAAGCTCCTTTGCTTGCATCATGCGTGAGGCAATGGCACCGGGCGACACCCTCAAGGAGGCTGGGGGACCAATCACTCGCCACTTCCGGCTGCCGAGCTCCTGGTTTTGTGTCCGCGGAATACTCTAGATTGAGAAACAAGCTAGTTTTGTCATGTATCTTAGGTTTTGGCCGGTTGAACACAACACATGGCCACTATACTACTGTTTGATCTTGATCTCTACAAGCAAAGATGAAACACTGCCAACTCATGTGCCATGACTCACAGGCCACCAGCCAGACGACCACGGGCACCGCTCCTGGCGGCGCGAATGGCGCGCCCACACCGCCGAACGCGTCAGTGGGCGCTCCGCCCCGGCCGCCGGGGGTGCCTGTGGGCACGAGACTTGGTGATCGAAGTCATGGGAAGGAAGGAAGTCTCCTCCACCAAGCGCTTGCTCCGGAGCTCTTGAATACAGACGGGTGAAGTCTTTGTCTTTAATTAAATAGTTTTTGTTTATGTTGTTTTGTTTAATGAAAGTTTTTGTTGGAAGGTTGCAGGGTACACGCTAAGCTATAGTCAAGGCTCAGGAAACAAGATTTTTTGGGCGATCAAACTCAAAAAAAAAGGGCCAAGGTGGGTCTTGTCGAAAGCCGATGGGCCGCCTCGAAGATTGAACTCAGTTACGAACGACCACCTTCCTGCACCGGCAGTGCATAGGTGGTCGGCTGTGATGTCACTTGGGTTTGTTGTAAAACTTAAAAACCACGAAGCACTATATGAAACCCTGTCACCCTCATGGAGTGATGACTCTTGTTACTATAGTAGCGTCCTTTTGTTACTCGTAGCGACGCCCTTTGTTCCTAGTAGCGTCCTTGCTCCTAGTAGTAAGGCCAGGAGCCCCTAGTAGCGTCCTTGCTCCTACTTAAAGACCCTCCTGTTGCTGGAGACGGTGCTTTAGCATGTGGAGACCCGCTTTTTCTCAGAGTCGACTGGAAACAGTGTGCGAGAGAGATCCACCACGCCCAGGAAAGGTGTTGGCAAGGGCCAAGCAAGGGGCACTCAGTGGAAGCAAGGGTTCGTTAGGGTTCGTTTGCAAGAATTGCTCCCAGAGTTGGTTTAAGGGAAAATGATGCACCCATCCTGTTGGGGGGGTGAAAGCCATAGTATCCTGCAGATTCTTCTCTTCAACCAATCCATTGATTTGCGTCAGCTGGACCACTGGGGGTGATGCCTGCGGGTGTTGGTCGGATTGGATTTCAGTGTTTCAGGGATGTGTTCAGTGTGCATCCAAAGTAGATAGACAGCTGGTTCGTCGAAGTCATGAGCTACCACAAGTTAAATTAGAATCAATAGATATCACTAGAATTCTTAGAATTCTTAGTAGCTACAAGCTACTATAGTAGCTCCTGGCAAGAAGGGCATTACTAGGAACAAGAAGCTATTAGTAACAAGGGCATTACTACTAGTAGCTAGAAGCTACTATGATTGACTCTTCGAAGACGTCAATCTGAATATGAAGCCCGCAGGACCAATCCATGAATATATATATATATAAAAAACATATCGAGGTATAGATCGATCGATGCAGAAACTCAGTTGGATGCTGTTTGAGGGCTGCTCTTAAAGTGATCAAGTGTTTGCTGATGCCAGGTGTCGGATTCCAATGTGTTGCTTTCCCGGATGCAGCATATGTACTATATAGAGCCCGTATCCTGAGCCCGTATCCTTTTTTGGTAGCTAATGATGCTAATGGCTTCGGTCACAGTAAGCGTGCTCCTGTAGTTGGTAGTCATTGTTCACATCCCTCACCGCCTCAAGGTCAAAGGTAAAGATGGGAATCCAACGGGCAAGGCGACGGGTGACGAGTGGAGACGTGTCCGTTCGGGGCTGCGGCTTGGTGACATACGGAAATGCAGATGCATACTTGCTACTAGTAGGAATGCCCTTGTTACTGGTAGCTTCTTGCTACAATCATCGTTGTTTAACCCGAGCACATCATATAGTCCACATTGGCTGCTGCACATGGAATTTGATCCTTGCTCGACAGGGACAAGGAGAAGCTGCAGAAGGACTGTGGTGGGCTGTGTTTTTGAGGCTTTGAGGCGACTGAAAGTGGTCCGGATTTAGCTGCTGAACAAGGCCACTTTTGAAGGCTAGGTTACGGCTTTGCACTGTAATTACATATTGATTTGAATTTGCAATTGGGATTGACTCGACCATTTCTTATGACTCAAGACACAAGGGTGAATCCGGGCAGAGACAAGGCCTTCGGGTCTTGAGGGAGTCCAAATGCTGGACCCAGGTTCAACTCGAAAGCGTGCTAGCTGGAGATAGGTAAAGGATTGAAAATGCTCATTGCTCATGCTCATCCCGGAAGTGTACGCCCCCGTGGTTTTTGCTCATTATTGTTTGACAGTATATTTTAGCCTACTTGACCGTGACCTCTAGTGCTTTAACGCCGCGCATATGCCACAGTTTTGGTTTACCCAGAGAGACCTGCCCAGGAAAGGCAAAGCCTGAGGCGGGGAGATGTGTGTTTCCCCTTGCAGGTCTTGCTCGTTTGGGCAAGTGTCCCTACACTTGCACGCTTGCTTGCAAAACCCTGGATGACCAGGTCCTGTCCAAATCAGTGTCCATGTTACTTGCTTTCGCTTGCTTTGCGTGGGCAAACCCAACGATCCCACTTATGTTCCTGAAAGCGATCGAAGCCGGTTTGCGCCACGAAGTTTCGCTGAGGTTCAAGGCGAATGCTTAGAGCATCGTGGCTTTTCTACCCCAATTAGTGCCGCACGGTGATCCTCTAGTTGTGAATGAAACGCAGGGTCATCGCATTTGAGCTTCTGAGTGGTTGTTTGGAATATATACTTTGGTTGTCCTACTTTTACTTACTTGACTTTATACGACGTATTAATATTTGTCGGGATCAATTTTCATCAACCGTTTTGACGCCCGCCAAACAGGTGGCGCTTCCGCCGGCCAAATCCACCTACAAGCAGGTGTTCTCCGTTGAAGACAGTGGCGCCGGGTCTATGGGAGTCTGGGAGTAAATTCTGGTGTGAAAAACTGGCTGCGTTGAATTTTGGCAGGGATTGTTGACCCTCAAACCCCGATGGATTTTTGTTCATTGAACTTGCACAAAGTTATTGGCTCTTTTACTCCAGGTCCGGGCCGACCTTCAAACTCGAAGCCGGCGACATGTAACATTTGCAGATCCCTTTCAAAACACACAACTTCTTTACAGGAAAACAAGGCTCACCTGTCACCTGATGAGAGTTTCATACCAATTCATTGCTGAAACCATCTCTTCACAGCCCTGTCACCTGTCGCGCTCCGCGTTCGCCCACGCGCCCGCCTTAGCGCCCTCGCTCTTCAGGGCGGTCTCCGGACCACGGTGAACACCCCCGAGACCTTGGTCACCGAGGCGGATCCTCCGGAAGACGAGGCGGGCTTGGCCGTGGGGTGCTTCCAGTTCTGCAGAGGTTCCAGGTTAAGGCACGGGCATCTCATGATGCTTTAAAACATGCAGAGCTGGAGCTGAAGTGGCTCATCGTTTTGGTCATGCGGACGGGTCAGGAGATGTCAAGATCGGTGAAGCACGGGTTGGTCTTCTACAATTTAGCACCGACAGCAAACGAATGGAACCGAGACCGAGATACAGATGTGGCCAGATCTGGGAACGTGTGGCTTCAGCAAACGGCGTTCACTTGTTGGACAGTGACCATGCCCACCAACTGGACCTGCTGTTGGCCGATGTTTTGGGAAGGTGCATGAGCCAGAACATCACGAACATCGACCCATTTACTCATGCAACACATTGTTAGAACAAAACATTTGGGGTGCTGTGAGTGTTGTGTGCGCCCGAAGCATGTCAGGTCTAACATCCAAAGAATGCACAGAAGAACAGTAACTGCCCAAAATCATCATCGAAAGACTACAAAGAATCACAGTATATACTCAAAGATGACCTGCAACATGTTTGAGCAGTTCATGTCTCGGTACCCCATCATCTTCGTCACCCACACCCACACCCACACCCAAAACGTGTCCCGGTCCCTCGAAGGTGGCCGAAGCAGAGCAATACATGTATTGGGTGCGGCCACCGAGAACTGAGACGAACTGGAGGAGTCCAACCTGGTGGGTGTGTTGGGATGTGCGAGGCCGGTAAGCCTGGCTGGTTAGACACCCAGAAACAGCAGGGTAGACACTCGGGAGTGATGTTTGTTTACCTTTGTTTACCATGCTGTAGCCATGTCCTGGGGAGATTTTTGTGTATGGCTTTCCCAAACAACAGTATCTCACAGCATTTTACCACTGCGCAAGTTTCCAACCAGTCCGCGGCCAGGACGTTCTTCGGGCCGCCACAATGAACGGATAGGTTCCCGCTTTTTGCATCGACTCAAAAGGCCTGAAATCATGGTTACGTGGATGGCATGCCCGTTTTCAAGGACCATTGGAACAAGACACCCAACAGGTGGTGGACTCCACCAAACTCATTTGGCCCATCATGATACATCATGGTGGTGTACATTTTTCTGTGTAGCCTTAGGTATTGCTTTCTCTTCAGACTGACCAATTTGGGTTTCAAGGAGTGTTGTTCTTCCCGTTTTTGGCCCCGAAGATCCAGGCTCAGCAGTACGCTGCCTTGGCGCAGCAGTGCCCCCCCGTTCGGTTCGGCCGGGCAGGTGGAAATGATGTTTCTTTTATGAGTGATTTGGTATGTTTGTCGTGAGTGAACTGGGAAGATGTTCGATGATGTTGAATGCTTTCTTTCTTTTCGGTTCCTGGGAGAACAAATCCAAGTCTGGTCAGGGCATGGCCTTTGTTTTGGTTCCAAGATTCCAAACCTTTCGTTCGAGGACTAGTCATTTGGGACCGGTTCAATCTCAGAGACCTGATGCGGTTCAGGGCCAGGGATATTATGGTTTCTTGTTTTCGCCATACCTGAGTGGTGGCCGAGCACAGGAGTAAGTACCACGGTGATAAGGCGACTCATGCTGCTCGACTCAGCTTCAGGTTGTGCCTTATGTTGTCATTTTGTCACTGGACTTGGTGGAGATCCCACTCACGTGCATATTGAAGTGGCACCTGGCCGAGATCATCTCGTGTAAGAAATCATCCGGATACTAGGACTGTCCAGCACGCTCAGTTGTTTGTCAAACGGGCCATTTAGAATGACCATGTCAAAAGCAAGTCCCTCTAAAGTATGCTAAAACAAGTACTTATGCAGAAGTATTGAGCTGCACACTGTGGGTATGTGCACTATTATATACCCAAGCCAAACTTGCGGGTGCAGTGCCATGAACGGAAGCAAGAACAGAACACTACAGTGCTACCTGGCCATGCCCAGGTACGCTGCTTATGCACAGTACTGTGCACAATATGCCCCGCAGGCCTACCCTGGGAATCTTGTGCTTGGGGGAGATTGTATTTCTGAGTATTTTTGTATATAGGCTTAGGGGACGCGATAGATGCATAGATGAATACATATGTAATATAACAATCAATCCAAAGAGAGAACCCTTGGCTGGAATTTGATGTGTTAGGGCGGTGTTTCAATGCTTGCATTTGCGCTCCATGGTCATTCACACCTCTGTTCTGCGAATTCTCATGAGCAGAGCCTTTTGCCATTCCTTTATCCACGTTGGCAGTGGCAGGCCCAAGTTCATGCTGAAGCTGCTGCAGGTGCTAGGGGAGGACCAACAGGACAGTGAGGTAGTTGCTTATAGTTTCTTGACTTGTAGACATCCCAGAACACAAGGCATTTTGCGGGCTGAATCTACAAGTCCCGCTGGATCCTGAACCATACCCACAAAAGGAAGAACAAAGTGAGGAGACTGGCACAACGGTAGTTGACCCCCGCAGTTTAAAGCCGGTGCATATGATGAGTTCATGGTATACCGCTCTGGTGCCGGCGCTGAGCAGTTGAGGTGTTTTTGTTCATGTTGATGGGGTAGCAAATGCTCTTTGGACCTTCAAGCTATGGGACAAAAAAAGGCTCAGATTGTGATTCAGCATGGGCTTGATTATGCTTCAAAGGTTGTTTGATCTACTGTTACTGTTCACAAGCAACGCAGATACTCATGATGCATGCAGTCCGGTCCCCGTGACTTTCGCCAATAGGCGCCAAGCCTGCACCTGCGAACGGTGCAATGGTGCAACAGCAGCAGCAGCAGCAACAGCAACAGCAGCAACAGCAGGCGAATTGTGATCGACGCTTGATGACATTGGATGTGTGTCAACACCTGGTTGCAACATGGATGAATGGATCATTGTCCCCATGTTGCAATGTATTTCTAGCAGGATTGGGCCTCCAGCTGCTCGGTGGATCGATCATTCTCTTTGATCGGCCATGGGCGATGTTTGCGGGTGGTGTCTTGACGTCCTAAATCCACCTTTTCGCGACTGCTCGGACCATGATCAATCTCTATCAACAGGGGAGGATAGGAATCGCAAAACAAGGGCACACTTCCGAGTGACTGTAACCATGTGGCGCTTGAGGTTTGGAAGGTTGAGGTGAACATAGGGTATAAAATAGCTGTGGTGTAGGCAGATGAGCAGTGATCTGCTTGAACCCCATGCGAGGCTCAGGGCCAGAAGAACACGCCGATCATGGTTACCCCGTGCCCACGAAGACAGAGAAAGGGGGGAAGCGGCTCAGTCATGAGACACGAACAAAAAGGCGCTGCCGTTTTCTATTTTTTGTTTAAGACTTGTATAATAGTGTGTTTAAGATGTTTTCTGTTTCTTCCATATTTAGGTTTTGATTCTTTTGCTCCTTTGTGTGCATTTCTTCGAAACATGTATGATAACTACCATTTGTGTGGCAATGGACGTTTGGATATAAGGTGCGAGGCACTAGAATTTAACACCTTCAGAGAGCTCTTGTGAAGTTTGCATTCTTTTGGGTCCGTAGTTTCTGGAAACAAGCAAAAGTACGGCCATCCAATTTCAGTGGGTTTTGGCTTCAGGGCTTTGTGACTGATTCCTTTTTGAGGGGAGGCGTTTTCCGTAGTTCCATTCGATGTCAAGAAGGACAGAGGGTACAATTTTTGTGGGTTGTTTGAGTGGTATTGGGAGGGTTGCCCATAGAGTCCTTCAGTGCTGTGCAATGTCGCGAAGCTCTATTCGACTAGCTTTCAACTGATAACATCGCGCTGGTCTCGTTTGTGCCCTTTGGACAGGAAGCTTTGGTCAGCAAGAAGGTTTGACATTATTTTCAGCCTCAAACATTTAAGTTGACTTTGTATGGTTACAGCCTCTGTACACATTGTTACCATTGATGCATTGATGTTGAATGATGTTGATATCCAACTTGTTCCAACTTCTTACTTATCTATACTGTACAGTAATAAGGTTTTGTAGGACTGTACCAGGCTGACCCCCCCACAGCTGAACACAGATAATTAACTTTCAGGCATCGCTCTGGACACATGTCAGACAGGACACTTTAGGCCTCAGGTCACTAGGCACATTAGTCATGTACCCATGATATGTATCCTGTATTCTGGAGTTTCTGGGTGGTGTAACAGATGGAAGTCTTTGGTGTTCCGGCCCACGCGGAAAAGCTGGCGAGGTACCGCCACAACTGGCTCATTAGTGGTAGCCACCGTGGGAATCAAGACGTGCGCCACCGTGGGAAACGTGTGATGTGGGTAGTATTGACACAAGTATTTGTTCCATTGACCGGAGGGTGCTTCGATGAGTTTTGGGCCGAGAAGCCCCGGAATGTGACGCGAGAGTCATGTGACGTAAGGTTTGGTTTTGGAGCCGATTCCTTCACCATGTGGGAACCCTGGAGTGTTTGTGTTTGCTCCTTTTTTTCCGGAACCTCTGGAAAGCCCTGACTTTGATATCCCTGGGAGACTTGGACCCCGAATCACAGAGTCCACGAGTCCGCGATCAAACATCAAGTGAAGAATTGTTTGATGTTGTTTTTGTTGTTTTGTTTTTGGCATGTTCTGACGGTTTTGCTGCCAGGGTGCTTGGTACGACGCCATTAAGGGTGACATTGTTAAGGCCAGGACGCCAGAGAAGGGGGGCGATGTCAGTTGGCACCGAATGCACATGGATTGAACATGATTGAACTATCCACTACCCAGACGAGACGTGAACACGTGGGTCTCTTGGTCAGCATGGAACAAAAAGGTGTGGAGACGACATGGTGAACACACGGCGTGACCCGTGGCTTAGCTACCATTTGTTGATGGTTAAAGTGCCTTCGGAAAACCTGGAAGAGTGTTGGCTTCTCACAGACCATGGGTATCCATGGGGGCTTTCTTGGCCTTTGGTACTGCTCATAAGACCTGCAAATCCTTTCGCGTGTTGCTGGGCGCCATGCCGTCGCGGCCAGACCATGGGCACTCTTTCTCGCTACGTCGGTGGCTGTCGAGCATGTGCTCCAGTGTTCGGGGCTTGGCGGAGTGTCGCTTCCCGGTTCAGTCAAATGGAAACGTTGTTTTTTTGGGGGGCATGGCATGGGAGTTATGGGAGCTAATGATGCATTTTACTTCTCTGATTTCTAATTAATATTTTTCAGCCACCATGTTTGACGACAGAGTGACAAAGTTGGTTGGCCTTGCAAAGCAAAGAAGCTTGTGTTCCGCATTGTATAGTATAGGTTGATGGGGCTTCACATCCAGGGTGGTATGAAAAGCCCATACAACAGGCAATGATTGTGCTGTATCCTGTTGACCTTCCAACTCATCGAAGGAGTTTATTGACCGCTTTATTTGTATATACAACCATTAACATGCAATCCATTGATGTGCTGTGGTCATGTCCATAGAAATCACTTAGATCGATATCATCCTCCTACACTATTAGTTCTGCAATGTTCTGTGACGAAACTGGAAGTCGTGCTATGGTATAGCGATCACAGAGTCGCAGAGACAAGTAACCAGAAATATGTGTGGCATGTTACATGATTCTTCAAAGAAACACACACGCAAGTATACAACTACTGCATGGGTGACACTACCTTTGGGGCTGTTTTGTTCTTTTAAGGTCCACAAATAAGATCCAAGACCAGAGCCTACGTTGCGTAGATCCTGTTTGTGTGTGACAGACGTATTTTGATCTCGCACAGTTGAGTGCCAATTGCATAGGAGGCGGTCTTTCTGATTTGTCTAGACTCAGAATATCTTGCATGGCGCAAAGGAGACAGTTGTTTTCGAAGCCAAGTACGGTTGGATCTCGCAGATATAGTTATATGTGTGGTATATATATATATAATACTCCTCCTGTTTCCTCCATGACATCGTTTTTGTTCTTAGAAATCGTTTCATGGTGATGCTGGTAGCATGTTGTACCCTGCATCGGGATACCCCCTGGTATTATAAAGAAACGAGTTGTCAAGACGTATGTCCAACAGTCTGTAGTGCTCACAGTTTCTCACCGTTTGCTTTTGTGAACCATTTATCATATATCTGTTCTAAAGGAACCAAATACGAAATCATGTTGACCAGCTGTGACTTTGCAGTTGTCATTTTGCTATCAAAAGCATATGTGTTGAAGGAAATATCAATGGCAAAAATAATAAAGGGATTGGAAGAGGGAAGGTTTCGAGGCACTGTAGTCTTAAATGTTGTGCGACAATGGGATCTACGTACCCCCTTGATTTCAGAATGAAGCGGAAGCAATTGGAGTCCCTGTGTCGCGTCAGTTCTATTATCTTTTTTAATTATATATGTGATTCATCTCCTCAGCACAGTGTGCTCTGTAAAATGGGGTGTCTAGATGTGCAGTCATGACTGCTGCGTGAAAACGAGCGTGTGTCAAGTCAAGAGTTGATATGAAGATCTTGGATCCTCAATACTCCCTCATGTATTATATTGGGATTTGTTTGCTTCCTATCAGGCGAATTCCGCAATGATTTTCACGTCAAGGCTCCTGAAATCAGGGAAGGTCTATTCACTTGACACCCCTTTGACTTATAGATACACTCGAATGTACCACAAACATATGCCGATGTACGTTAGCTTGGTCAATCTGTTTGTCCATGTGCGTCAATCTGTGCGTCTCGTCGTTTCAGTTCGGTCGACCTGAGGCCATGGCAAGAATGAGGAGCATCCGGGTCGTGCATCCAGGTCCGAGCCTCTCGGGTGGACGCAACCCGTCTCTCGGGCCTGAAGGCTCCAGCACCGGACGAACGGAGCAAGAATGCTACGAACGGGGCTTCTGGCCTTACTACTAGGAGCAATGTTCGCTATTAGGAGCACCCAGAATTGGATCATCCTTTTGATATGCAACTCCATCACAAAAGGTAGAGTTCAGGCACAGGCCTTTGGGAACTCTTGTCCTCAGACACCTCAGACTGCCCGTATTTTGCCTTTGGTACAGGAAGCGTTCTTAAGTTATTAGAATCAATGACAGATTCCGCCAGTATCCCGAACTGCAGAATAAGTGTTTGGACCAGCTTTTTCAACACCTGTTTGGCCGAGTTTTCCTATACAACACTCCCCCACAGTAACCAATGGTGTTGTATCGATGTTACCTTCTTCCAGTGGCTTCAATAGGGGCCGTTCCAAGACATGTGTATATATAATATAGACTGTATATATATATACATATTATGCATGATATTAATTTCCATGCAGATATTTCCAGTCACATTTGTAAGTCAGCTCGGCTGACCAGATCCACTACAGTCAGAAGCTCTGTGATTTCTGCACCGCTTCAAGTGATCCCATACCAACCAGAGAGTCTTTGCCCATCCATGCAAGAGAATTCTTCATGCAAACAGCCGAATGATGTGTGAAATCACACCGGGTTCGAAGGGCATCTCTGTCGAGTTCCAAGAGCGCTGTTCCCTTCAACTGTCGAGTTCCAGGCCCCTCCTTCAGACCGTTCCGTTCCTTCACTCCAGCTACAGGCTGTCGACCAGGTCTGGTCCTCGCGTGCAATGCAGCGAGAAGACCGTCCCAGGAGAACGCCGGTTTCGAGACACTGGGCCGATTCCAATTTCGAGACAGTTTCAATCCAATGAGTCCGATGAGAATCTCTGAGAAACCACTCTATCCATAAGTGGAATGTATCTAATCCAATGGTTTCTATGAGACACTTTCATTAAACATTTACCATCTAATCTACCAGAGTCGTCCAGGTTTCTCCCTGTGGGCCTCCCATCGCGCCCTGCCAGGGGTTGTGGCGATCGCCTGGCGCCTGGCGCACGAACGAACGCACCACTCGGATCGGCCGAAGAAAAGCGCCGAGCGCCGGTGGGGTAGTTGGAGTCGTGGGAGTCGCTTTGGTGGAGTCGTTGGGTGGGGAACTTTTTAGGTTTTGGATTTGGACTCTGATGGCTTGCAGATATTGAGGAAAACAGAGCAAAAGCCAGGGACATGAATTGAACCTCTGATGCGCAATATGCACTGTTTGGATGGTTTGGAGGGTTTGCGAAGGGAAAGCTCATCAGCCAATCCATGTCAAATGGCATGGCCTTGATTAAAGAAAAAAAACAAGTTATTCTGGGAAGAGGTTATTTGATGAAAGTATTGAGTCCCAGTCTTAAACCATGGCATGAAATGAACTATCATCATGGACAACACGTGACCTACTGTAACTGATACGACATGAACAGATCTGTAAATTCAGGGGCTATCACTCCTCATGTTCTTGAATCACTACAGAATAGGTGAACCCCCAAGAAGGAATCCTAGCCTTGGAGCAGCCGATGAAAATTCTTGAGAGACTTCCAACAATCCCAATAGGATGACTCCTTCCCAATGAGCCACCAGCCTCCTAACGTCTCTGGACTATCCATAGGTGTATGTATTCCGCAAAGGTGGCCATGTAGACGGCTGACCATGTCGCTCAAAGTCCGTGGCAGCTGTTTTTCGTTTCAAAAGAGGCCACCGCTGTCTTTTGTGTCGACCGGTCTGATGCGCGCCGCACCACGTCGAAGGGGAGTGGAAGGGGAGGATGGGAGGATGGGTGTTTGTGGACTGCAAGGGTTCTTTGAGAATATCAAGTCAAAGAATGTGGACTTCCATCCAGGTCCCTGGTGCCACGAGGAGGATCCAAATGAAGAGGAGAGATCCAAATCCTATGGATTTTCCCTCATTTATATAGTTCTTTTAGGTTCGTGAAATATGATGGTTTGACCAAAGGACCTCCTTGGGCCCTATGCTGACTTTTTGTTGCCCGTCTTAAGCCGTTGGTAAAAGCCAGTAGCCTACATGCAGTGAATTAAGGCACCGAATTAGACACCGGATGGTAATCAGGCCCCATAGAGCCCGCCTCAGGCAGGGGAACGCAGTATGGATATCCTTTTGGGGGTTCATCCAACTGAACAAGAGAACCAACCCCGCACACAGAGCAACCGGGTAGGGCCATGACTGTTTTTTGTCCGATTGAAACAGCCTTCGGGAGCACATCTAATCAGCAAACGCCCTACACCAAATCGGAAGAGGTCGGAGGATTGAAAAGAATCAAACTAGGAACAAGGACGCTACTAGGAACAAGTGCATCGCTACTAGTAACAAGTGCCTTACTAGTAGTAACAAGAAGCTATTAGTAACAAGTGCCTTACTAAGGCAAAATCAGAAGAGGTCGGAGGATTGAACAGAATCGGTCGGTGGTGGACTTATAGGTGACTTTGCACCATACAGCGCTAGACCCGCTTCTTCGCCGAAGAGCAAAGGTGAAGCCGCAAAGCCACCTTGAAGAAGCGCCCACAAGGGCCTTTGTTTGACATGTTTGAAAGTGTTGACCCAACACATTGGCTTTGTGTGTGTTTCCCCAAGGCAAGGAAATGGGAAGCGTCACCAAAGCTATATAGTTTACTCGTCCAGAAGTAGTATATGTATAAGATTTCAAGCAATGATTTATTTAAATATGGTCTCACCAAGAGAAAAAATACATGGTTTTTACGAAGGATTTAGACAAACCGTTGTTTTGAAGGGTCTTGGAAGGTCAGAGTATGTAAAAAAAACAATATGTATGTGTATATCTAAAATATCCTAAAAAGTGCCGTTCCTCACTTGAATTCTGTGACCATCCCTCACCAAGGCGCATTTGGGGTCGATTCTGGCCTGGTGCCTCGCACAGGTGGCGTTGGCCGCCCACCGGGGGAGTTCGCAGATTCCTTGGGAGCTGCAAAACTGAAGACCGAAAAGAGCCGAGAATGCCTCATGTAGACATGTAGACATATGTACTTTCTAAGGATTCGAGCCTAGGATCCGAGGCAGAGGCAACAGTTGACTCCTTTCTTTTTTGGAATACATGTTTGGTAGCTGGACCCAAACTGCAGAGTCTTTTCTTGTAGAGATAGAAAGCTACTGTTCCAGGCTGTAGCGTTGTTTCGCGCAGCACAGTCGACGCATGAGAATGGCAGCGCTATGTGATGTCCCGCCCATGTTGACCCACGTGCTGTTGACCCATGAGCTGACCCCATGTGCGGGAGTTTGGATTGGATTGTGAAAGGACATAGGCTGACAAACAAACCAACACGTTCCCTGACATCATTCCATTTCCCAGGAAAGGTTCATGAAACAAAATCAAGGAACATCAAACAACTCCTTTGATGATGAAGTCATTATGTATCAGATGACTTGTACTGCAAGATAAGGAAACACACAATGGATGTGTATATATATATACATATATATATGGACCATGGCTGTGTTTGCAGTGGGTTGATCCTATTTTGGCGGAGGACATGTTTATCGTCAGCAGCATCTCCCGCCTTAGCAAGTCGCTTCATGAACTTTCCCTCCCAGCCAGTTCCTTCCGCCACAGGCGACCACCGATGTGGAGGTGCTGAAAGCCAAGTCGTTGCCGAAGGAGTTCGACACGAATGCAGAATCCACTCCTCTCTTGGTATTAAGACTCTGGAACAGGTGTTTGTTGAGGGTGGTCAGGCCCTCTCCGTCGCCGTCGCCGTCGCCGCTCCTGTAAAGGACCTTCCAGTGTTGTAGGGTGGTTACTGTAGAGGTGTTTGTACATGTGGTGGGTGTATTTTGTGTTTGCATGTATTTACGTAAATTGGTGACCTGTTCGAGGGTCCTGGTCGCTAACCTTTTTGTTTGCCAATCTCCATTCAAGTTTTAAACAACAAATTTATGGATCTTCTTGGAACTGCCAGAACACTCCCAGAGATTCGTTTGGGCAATTGTATGAGTCGGTTGGACATTTGTCCGGTCGTTGAACGACAAACTTTTGTGGCAACTTGTGAAGGTAGTTCTCCCCCATGTAAAGAACTAACATGCTCCAGTTGAAGAACTAACACAGAGACAGGAGAGACGTGGAAGGAGAACCCATGGATCTCAGCCAAGACGACTCACCATATGAAGTCCTTTTATGTTTAAATAACACAAGCATGGGCACCTCTGAGAGTTGCAGGGTTCTATGAACCAGTTTTTGCATGAGCAAACGAAATCATGTATTTGTTGATTCCATGTGTTTGGATTCCATTTTTTCAAACATATTTGTTGATGAGAGCTCTTTCTGCAGGTCGCGCTGTCTTCCAACGATGAGTGCACAGGCCGCACTCTTGTGTGTCACAGTCATTTTTTTCAGTCACTGGTAAGGTATTGGACCCATGCGGAATCCACTCTTCACGCTCCCAATGCAGATGCCCAGTCACTGATGTGATGATATCCTGTGGCTGACTTTCAGATTTAGGACTTTCTTTAGAGTGACTCGCGATTTCATTCTTTCCCGAGAAACATCGCGTTGTAAGATGTATTATCACAATACTATCAGAAGAATATATCATGGGACCGTGGGACGTGGAGCCTCGGTACAGTACAAGACCAAGTAGTTACAAGCTGGTTTGCTTCTCAGCAACACCAGCCATCAAAATACCGAGTAGTTCTTAAAATATCTCAGGAACTTACATAGCCTTGTGCAGGCCAGTTGGAAGCAAGGATATTTATGCATACAGGCAGGAGCGCCCGACTCGATAAGAGAAGATCCTCGGTCTTCGGTTGCACAGCAGCGCCACAGGTGAAACCTGTGCCTTCAACGCACTGCAGACGAGACAGAGGCCGGACTGCATCCTTCGGTTTGAGCGATGCACAGGTCTACAGACTAGGTCATTTTCAACAGGGAGACCCTCCAACTGACTCCAACCATGAGAGTCTTTGTTCGATGTTTGGCATTGACCCTAGGAGTCATTGGGAGGCTTTGCGGCTACACCCCCTGACCAGTTGGTGATACCGACGCCATGTTTTCTTCGGGCAGCTGTTGAGGTGTATGGCTACAATGGATGTTGTCTAAAGGACCTGTAATCATCTTCCAGTAGAGACCAAAAGTTGTCGCACGGCATGTCTCACTCTCTCTACTCAAGGACGGTTTTCTTGCACCTTTGTCAATCACTTTCTGTTCAGTCGCCGATTTGACGATCCACAGGATGGAGGAGCTGATGGTTGCGTCACCAGAGGCGACACGAAACGGATTGGGTGGCGACCCCCCCTGCCAAGTCGCCCTGGTTGGGCGGTGTTTGGTCAGGATGTCAAAATATGTCTACAGTATATTTCTAGTGGGTGACTCACCCATATTGCCAGAAAGCTGCTGAAAGTTACTAAGCCAACGGGACTCGAAGACGTTTCGGAAGTGGATTCCTGTGAGGTAGCTGCAGGATGCTATCTAAATATATCTGAATCTAAACATTACATTGCTTGCCATAATCTTGTACATGGTACTCCTTCAGCTGCTAGTAGTAGGAGACCTCATTCTGTAAAGATGGCCCTGGCCCAAGTGATTCCCCTTTAAGGCAGTAAAGAGCTTCCTGTCCAGACTCAGAAGTCTCATTGGATGAATGATCTTCGGATGTGCCAGGTGACACCCTTTGCTGCGGCCCCAGTGATGAGTGAAACATCCACGAAGCACTGAGCGAGGGGAGCTGAGTAGCAAGTTGTTTTGGCAAAGAGTTGAAGAAGTCAAGTTATGATGGTCAGTTATGCAAGTTGGTTGAAGGATCAAATATAGGCTTCTTTGTTGTTTTATTTTTTTTTTGTGTGTGTGTGTCAACACCCCTTTCCAGGGAACCTGCTTTCGTGTTTTGAACAGTCCCAGCAGGGGACAAGGGGACCCGCGTCACTCACTGGCCAATGAAGACACTGATGGTTTGGTCGTGATATCCAGAAGGAAAGCTTTCTTGACGTACCTGCAAATTGCTTCAATCACCGTCTCCTTTTCACCCATGTTAAGCAATACAACTGCTTGGACTCATCGCCATTCTGTTCTGCAGCCAAGGTCCAAATTGCGGTAAAAGTAAAGTGCTAATGCTCACCGAGATCCACCCTGAATCTAGCTCCTTGGAGCTCTTTCTCAAGTGTGTGGAAAGTAATTCTTCACAAACATAATCTGGTGGTGCTTTACAGTTTTTCGACTTAAGACACTGAAAAAGACGA